ACAAATGCTTAACCTTTCTAAAGCGGAGCACAAAGAGAACGCTTGCTCTCGATAAAAGCGAGCGCGTTGGGACACGCGCGTGAAATGTTACTCAAAAGTTGCTTGTTGCGCACAAAAAGCACGCTCGCTTTATGGCGCCTGAGATTTCAAGCGACGCTTGAAAAGCGTAAAGAATCAAAAGTTAATTCTTTCTCGCTTGGAAACGTGTACTTGGTACAGTCCCCCCATTGTTGTCTGGCTGTCTGGTCACGACTTGGGTGGTTCAGAATGTCTTTTCTCTCAGTCTCAGTGTCAAAAGCACTGAAATGGATGTCAAGTCTTTGGTATCAGCCGAATTAAAAACCCCTGCAATTTGGGGCAAGAGAAGGAAAGACCACGCACATTTACTTGAATGTCTCTTGGCTCATTCTCAGGTATGACTGAAAACGAGAAGGGCTTCTTTTAAGTAAAGGAAACAAGTGGTGATATTCACCTTCCACTCGCCTCATTTTATTTATCTCATGAACCCCCGTTCTTTTGCGTTTTCCTAGGATAATTTTCGGCAAAACACTGTCAAGCAACAAAAGTTCGTCTTCACTCGAATCTGCCATGGCGCCAAGTGCCCAAGTTCTGACCAGTCGCAAGCGCGATTTGCAATCTTTCTCTGTGTACACCTCAACGACAAGCAAGCACTTTCTTAACAAGCGCTCGTTTTATCGCGCTCGCTTTTATCGCGAGCAAGCGTTCTCTTTGTGCGTACTTTAAGAAAGTCTCAAGTCGGGTGTAAACGAACAGAACACTGCAGATGAATAAATGGAATAGGTTACTTGCTGACTTGGACTTAATCTCAGTGTTGAACGTCCTTGGGTGTTTCGCCATTTCCTCGAAACTCTGGAAATTTGACTGATCTGTGGTATAGAACTAGGTCCTTCAATTTATCAGTTATAATATATTGTGGTTGTACTATTTCTAAATTGCATGGTTCAGACCATTGTATAATATGTGTTTATAGACGAAGTTTTCATCCTGTCATAAAGCTCAGATACGTCACTGGCATCTGTGGTGTGACGTCATGGCGGTCACCGTCACACGTAGAAGGTACGTAGTCTAAACAGCCGTATGCACTGCTCACCGTCGAACGCTCCGTATCCCGGACTCTGGCATGGAGATCATCAGGAGAGAATGCGTCGCTGTTTCGGGCTCTTCCTCTCTACAGCTTTTCTGACGCACCGAGCCCCCTTACCGATGTGAGGTCTCCATGTTAGTTCGACTGTTTTCCTCTGCTGCCAACTTTAGGATTCATTCTAGCTTGAGTCCTCTCGCTTCAACCAGATCCAATGACTGGCTTTCTCTGCTGTCTCCTGAAGGGAGTTTGTGAGTTCGTTGCTTTTCTTTGCAGTAAGTCCTGCCACTCTCATCCACTTACGGGCGCTTGTTGCTACAAAACCTCTGCATCCTACCTCTACCGGAAAATGGGTTGCCTTCCATCCTGCCTCCTCACATTGTTCGACGAGTGCCTCGTAACGGTTTTCTTTCCGCTCATGAGCGGCATAGATATTGTCCTCGTGGGGCACCGTGAGCTCTACCAAGTGTACCTCTTTGTCTTTTTCCTCCCATAACACAATGTCTGGCTTTTTCGTAGTTGGAATGGGGAAGAATCTCTCAAAGCCTTTTAAGTCAGCAGCTACTTCCCATGTGCCTCCGCTCTGGTCTTTCATGGCTTCGTTTGCTTTCTTTCTTTTGGCAACCTTGCTTCCTTGCGGAACGAACGCAATCTTGGTGGGTCCATGCTTCTGTATCTTGGGGTATATTTTCCTTCTTCCACCTGTTGTGTCGCCATTTTCGTGAGCACTTTCAACACCTCGTTGTGTCTCCAGGTGTATCTGTTAAGAGCTAGGTTGCAGTTTGACAAAATATGCTTCATGGTTCCTAGCTTACCGCATCTACACTTGTTGTCCTCCTGTACCTTCCATCTGACAAGGTTCACCGGTGAAGGCAGAACATCATACGTAGACCGGAGAAGAAAGCTCAGCCTTGATGTATTCCACTTCCAGATGTCACTCCACCCGACTTTTCTTTCCACTACATGCTCTTCCCATCTGGTCATTTGTCCTTGCTGGCTACACTGGATGAGATGAATTTCTCGCCTCTCTGCCTCCATCTTTTGCATATGTCTTGTTGCAGCTTTTCTTCTGTCTCGCTGAGACATTTTCCTGAAAGGTCTAAAGTCGCCATTACCTAGCCCTAATCTGTCAGGTTGCGCTGGACCGACAATGTCCCCATGCTCCAATGCAGAGATGATCTCGTTAGCTGCAACTTCTGCCTTCCACTTTCTGGCTGTTTTGACATCTGGAGGTTTTCCACTGATCTCCTTATCCCTTGATTCTCTCAACATCAAAACGGTTCTAATCTTGCCTGCTTTGTAGATCTCCACAATTGACGTGAGAGGTAGTTGAAGCGCACCTCTATGTCTGTACAGGGATGACGTGTTAATGGTACGGGGTAGCCCCAGCCACTTCCTGATGTAGCTGTTACACTTTCTTTCGATCATCTCAACTCTTGACAAAGCAACTTCATACATTGTCAGTGGCCACGCCAATCGAGGGTAGAGGGCAAACTGTAGACACCATATCTTGTGCTTTCCTGGAAGCTTTGTCTGGTCAATTGCTTTCAGCCCATTTTCAGCCTGCTTCATGATTTCCACGCCTTGACTCCTATCAGACAGAGTTCCTGAGTACCACCGACCCAAACTTTTCACGGGTTGTTCTTTTACTGTGGGCATTTGCTCCCCTGCAATTGTGAACTTCAGTTGCTTCTGTTTTTCTTTGTTAATAGTCAGGCTTCTAGACTTTTTAGCTTTAAACTTCATCCTCGCCCAGGTGATAAGCTTATCGAGCCGATTCAACACACTTTGCATTGTGTCTCCATCTCTTGTCAGTAGGGTCACATCATCCATAAAGGCTTTCTTTGGTGATCTCACCTTTGCTTCTTCTTCACAGCATTCTGCAGATCTCAGTAGCATCTCCATTACCAGGATGAACCAGATGACCGATATAGAGCAGCCAGCTGCAATCCCAATCTCTAGTCGGTGCCATTCCGTTGTGAAATTTGCGGTTGATAATCGCATCTGGAAGTTACTATAGTATTCTCTCATAATGTTTTGCACCTCTTGTGGGACGTAGAAAAAATCCATTGCCTTCATCAGCAATTTATGGGGAACAGACCCGTAGGCATTCGCCAGATCCAACCACACTACGTTTAAACTTTCCTTGTTTTTCTTGGCCTCTTGGATTGTGTCCCAAATGGTGAAAGCATGCTCGATGCAGCCTGGGATCCCTGGTACCCCGGCTTTCTGTACCGTTTCATCCACATAGCCGTTACTTTGCAAATATGCTACAGTCCTCTTTGCAAGTATTCCCATAAAGATCTTGCACGTCACGTTGATGATTGAAATAGGTCTGAACTGTCCTATCTCCTTTGCATTCTGTTCTTTGGGTAGATACACGCCCTCCGCTCTGCACCAATCTTTGACTATTTCTTTGTCTTTCCAAAGGCCTCTTAGCATCTCAAAGAGGGTGTGTCTCAGCGTGTCGCAATACTTGAACACCTTATAAGACACGCCATCTCCTCCAGGTGCACTTTTTGCTCTTGCTTTTTTTACGAACTCATCTACTTCTTTCTCTCTAATTGGTCCCAGGTAATATTTGACGACGGGGGCAGCTGGACGCTTCAGGCCTCTCATATAAGGAAGCGGTTCTTCTCTTCTTGAATCGCTGTACGTCTGCTTAACATAAGCATCGAGTTCCTCTTTCGTACATTCCAATTTACCACTCCGTGCCTCTGTGAACAGTTTTTTGGCTGCTTCATAAGGATTCTTCAGAAATTGTTCACGTTCCCTTTTTCTCTCTTTTCTCCTGGTACACCTTCTTTCGTGCCTCTGTAGGTCTCTGCTCTTTTTCTTAAGATCTTCAAACAAGATTCTTAGGCCTTCTATCTCTTCTGGTGGTGCGTACTTTTTCTGCTTTTGCAAGTCTCGTTTCTGTTTTCTTAGCTGTGCAAGTACTCTCTGCCTTCTACTCAATCCACTTTTCTTCTCCGTCTTTTTCTTTCCTTCACAAATACCAAACTCTTTTATTGCCGAGTCATAGATAATGGTCGCAAACGCACTCAATATTTCTTTAGCATCCCCTCTGTTAGAACTCTTTTTGACTTCTTTCAATTTCTTCTGGACTTCTTCTTCTAACGTCTTGTATTTTGCCTTCTCGTTAGCAGCAGGCCACAGTATTCTGGGTTTCCGTAACCCTGGTTCCGTTTGCTGTTCCATCTCTTGCTGAGACAGGGTGAAAGGAGAGTCGACTGAAGCACTAATCGCTCCGCTGTGGTTTTCATCCTGGGATGATTTGCTTCGCGTCTTACAATCTGACGATCTGCACTGTCTTCTCTTCTTTAAACAGACTTTTCCCTGGTGCACTCTCAGCCCTCGCCAGGTATCGAACTTTCTGTAGCACTGCTCGCACATAAAGCTGTTCTCTTGATTCTCTTTCTGCATTGTCCTTTTAACGCTTAGGTCATTGTCCATTGAATCCGTCCTTGTGGATCCATCCTCTACTCCCCCCTCTCGGTGGATCCCGGGGCTGTCTTTTCTATTGGTTGACGTAACTTATATTTACAGTGACCTGGGTAGTTAGCCCCTGCCACCGTCGGTCTTTCCCGATGTCCACCCGTCACTCCGGGTTGTCGTCCTGTCTTTCCAGGATGTCCGTAGCATACACCTGCTACTGGTAGGTACGTAGTCTAAACAGCCGTATGCACTGCTCACCGTCGAACGCTCCGTATCCCGGACTCTAGCATGTTCGAGTCCTGTGTGGAGAGGAATTGTTATCGCGTATCTCGGTCTTTCTGCTGTGACATTATATTCCTCTCAGCCCGGGTAGGCCTTGACAGGCAGAGTCGAAGCCCGCCTCCTAGATGATCTAAATAAATTGTGTCGATGGGTCGTACATTTTAAAACCCACAAAAATCCAACAAAGAAAGACAAACTCCAAAAGGTACATGGTGTGAGAGACTGTTCACACAGTGAAAATGTCAAAATTAGGCAAATAAATAATTATAACGATTAAGTGAGCTCAAATCGATGATCAAACATGCGCTGTGTTGCACATTTCGACTATGGGTCGACTTATAATTGACTGACCAAAAAAAATGTAGCCCACCCCTCTGCAGGTTCCTAACGGTCTAGCTGTAACAAGACATAATTGTTTTAAAATTGGTTGTGGTAATGGTCACACGGGGGCAGAGTAAGACGAAACAAAGAGTTGCATCTGACAAACGAAGACATGTACCCCTTTTAAATTGAAGGTCGATATTATCACTACTATGACTGTGACATTCAGATTTTCATAATTCTGTGCTGAATGTTTGCTCAAATAATTAGAATAGTGGTTGTAATAGACTGTCAGCCCTTATGAAGTAAACGAATCTAACTCCAATGATAGGGATAAATGACCAGTCTTTGTGTATATGACACAGATATTATGACGAGAAATACATTCTTGTTTTACAATTTTAATGATATAATCTTCATCTTACTAAAACTAGCTGTTATAATGTTAGCGTGCATTGAAGGTACACAAAGAAAGAACGATGTAAAATTATCGTTTATATGTCGTTGATTAAGTCCTGGTTTCCTTTGTACTGAGTGTATAAATCAAGGTCTGTGCCTGAAATAGGGGAGGAGCCTAGCGCTAAAGTAACTGTGGTGTCGATGTCCCACACGTCTCTCCCACCCAGAATGTCGATTTCACATTTGTGGGGAAACAACTCAACTTACTCTCACGACCAGAAAATGAGCTTGCCAATGACAACACCATCACCTTCTGGTTCACAATATGCAAATATCGTAAGCGACGAGCAGCTGTACATTATCCAGCTGGTCAACGGGGTGGTCATCTGTGGTCTCCTCAGTCTGTTCGGCGTGGCCTCTAACATCATCAACATTGTGGTGTTTGCCAAGCAAGGCTTTCAGGACAGCATGAACATCAGCCTCATGGGTGAGATGGCAATTATCACATCTACAGTAAAGTTACTAACAAATAACCTAATCTACAGTTACAACTAATTCTTCTATCAAACGGTCATGGAGTAGAGCATAACACACATAGGTGAGGTGGATATGATAGAAAAAAGTTGAAATATAGCTCCAAGCACATTTACAATACCGCCAGCAAGCAGTGCGTTAGCTCCAAGTCATGAAATCTTTTATTTTTCAGGAGAAAAAATTGTGTCATCACGATTTTCCCCAGTTATGACAATATTTAATATTTAAGAAGCGCTACTCATTTGGTTTGGAACATAATAATATGATGACAATGGGCGACTCAAATCATGAATTTAAAAACAAGACTTTTTAAAATCACAAAATGGGCAAAACGCAACAGAATTTTTTTTACGTGCGTGCAAGAACAGAGAACTAAAAAAAAAACCATTTGTACAATAGGCAATTTCTTTTTTTTTTTTTTTTGTCCCTTGCCCATGTCTATGATATTGACGCCATCTGATTAGTAGAAAAATGTGCGTATGAGAGTGCCCAATAATGTATAACGTACAAATTTGTTATGACATATAACTGTTACATATAGATGTTTAAGATAATTATAGATGTTTGTGAAGGATCTGAGAGCAATGATGACCTTAGAAATGACGGTGATGGTGGTGGTAAGTGATGATGTGGGATGGTGCTTACGTTTATAATTATAAGAAAACATGCTTCTGTTATTTGATTGTTGTTGTTTAAAACAATAATAATGTTAGCGTTAGTCCTATCTTCCTCTGCTCTGATGAGTCACGAGGGATGTGGGCACCCGCTATCCCGTTCCCTACTGGAACCATCTTTAGTGTCACCGTGAAGTTCCGAAATGGTGGGCACAGTCTCTGCTATGGTGACCTTGTTAGTATTAGCTTATTCTAGCGGACCAAGACAAGTGAAGAGAGGACCTTAGTAGGTAGCTAGTACAGTGGTAGAGATTATTTTTGGGGTTTCGTAAGGGGTTTGCAGGCAGCAATTCACAATTGGGTTAAAGACTTTATACTTATTTATATATCTTATTTATATATGAAGTTGCGGAGATTCCGACACAGGATCCTCGAACCCGAGTCGAGAGGGAACAATTTACACACAATATTGTATCCCCTCGCCTCGGGGGGAGCGATAGGCAATTTCCACTTCGCAACTTCTGACAACAATTTCCCCCCCCCCCCCCCCCAAACCCGCCTCCTCAGAGAAAGTCTAAGACGAGAGATAACAAAAACTAAAGACAGTTTCAATAAAAGAAGCTCAATTCTGGAAAATGGAAAGAAATCTCAATGAAAACAAAAATTTTAATTCTGGAATGCTGTCTATGCTCAACCCTACTATATGGCTAGGAATGCTGGACAATCGCTAAAGATAAGGAAAATGAAATAAAAGTAACAGAACAGTGGTTTTTAGGAGGCTGCAGAGAATTCCCTTGAAAAAAAAAAGAAATCAATTAAGGCAGTACTTGAAGATGTCAACGTGAGCTGCTCTTTGATTTAAAATAAATCAAGAATCAAGAAAGGACAAATGCAGTTTCTGGGACATTTTTATAGACATAAAGGCCTTGAATACCTAACTCTCACTGGTGAAATTGGAGGCAAACGAGGCAGGGGTAGACCCAGAGAAACCTACTTGGACAGCTTAAACAGATTTGTAAAGCTGAAATATCAGGATAAGGTAGCTTTTGGGAGAGCATCTGAGCAAAGTAATGAGTGGAGAACCATAATTGCCAATGTCTGTTTCAGATCTGATACTTTATGATGAAGATGATTTACTGACGAAAAAAAAAATGAAATTTCACTTTAGCTTTGATTAACTCTTTTCATGTCAGAGGGTTTCCACAGTCGTGTCACTCAACCTGCAAGGGGGTTTGGGGGGGGGAGGCTCATGATTGAATTTTGCATTTTTCCATCTCATAAAATGTTTACCATTTCAGGGCTCGCTGTGTCTGACCTGTTCTCCCTGCTGACCACGATATGGCTAAGCATCTGCGCGAACCCACTCTTCTACAACTCTGAGTTGCCCTTTGACCCTAGGGATTTGACTGACCTCACGGGGGGCATGCCCCATATTCTCTTTGTCAAAATCGCCACTTTTATCACCGCCTTCATCACCTTTGAACGATGTCTGTGTATCGCTGTCCCTCTGAAGGTGAAGACGATCATCACACCGAGAAGGACTAAGACAATTATTATCTCCATCTACATTGCCATGGCTGTTTTGGTGATCCCCTACTACTTTGGAAACAGACTTGAGTGGATTTTCGATTTCAACAAGAATGCTACTGTGCTAAAAACCACGTACACGGCCGAGAGAGGAATGTTTGAAGCCATTACGTTTCTCACCCAAGGCGTATTTACTACGTCGTTTTCCTTTGTCTTCGTCATCTGCTGTACCATCGTTCTTATCGTCAAACTCAACAGTAAAACAAAATGGCGGAGGGCCACTGCAGCCAAATCTGATCGTGCAGCGGAAGGAGTAGGGGTCAAAGATCAAAAAGTTGTGAAAATGGTGACCTTCATCGCTGTCATTTTCATCGTCTGTTCCGTACCTCCCACGCTCATGTTTCTCTACATGGTGATTGACCCAAGTTTTCGTATTGATGGTGTCTATGGAAATCTCTATTTTGTCATTTGGTGTTCATCATTTCTAACAGAAACTGTCAACTCCAGTGTGAACATATTTGTGTATCTGAAAATGAGTTCGAAATATCGAATAGTGTTTATGAAAACATTTTTGAACAAGGGGGAAAAATAA